CCCAGGGAAGAACAATGGAGACCCAATGAAAACTCGCTCCTCCTGCGCGTCAGCCGTTGCTGGGCAGCAGCAGTCTCCTTGGGCGTCCCCCCCCTGCCGTTTTATGGCGGCTGTGAGGGGGTTGCCTGGCAACTCAGCCACGCGGAGGGGAGAGGTTGTTCCCGCCCAGAAGACAATAGAGACCCAATTAGAGCTCGCTCCTCCTCGTGCTTCTTAAAGTGCGCCCCACTATCCCCATGGAAATAAAAATCCACCCCCATTGAAGAAACTTCACTCTTGCTCCAGACTCGACCGGTAACACCCGTTGGGGTCTCGCCGTGGGGCAGGAAGGGAGAGGCTCCGGCTTTCTCCCTTAAACACTTGCTGGTGGACTGAAACGTTGTGAGCGTTGGCAACCCAACTGGGAGAGACTGGAGCAGGCGATGGTGGTTGCCCAGAGTCAATTGGGAGGTGTCCTTGCACCCCAGATTTCTGTTTTGCCCCCTCCTTCCTACTGAAAGACCCCCACCATCTCACTCTTGATCCCTTTTTTGGTATTTCTTGGGGGGGGTCTTCCTTCCTCTGTCCTGATCCTGCTTGACCCCCAGGGTCAGATCCTCTCCTACTGAAATTTGGACTCTACAAAACGGTACCCCTCGACAGGGAGGAAGGGCCTATTATTAGGGTTGTCCCCTGAAGACTGAGGGATCCCCGTTGGTTTCCAAAATGTCCCAGCAGGTGTTCTAGCTGATGCTCCTGTCGGGGAAGCCTTTAAAAGTGATCAGAACGAACATAAAGGCCATTAAAAGAATTCCCAACTGATTGAGGCTGCTTCGATTGAACAGGCAGGGATTTTTCCCATGTTAAACTGGATGAGTATCACTTGGTACCACCTGAGGAGGTGGACAGGGCTCTGGCTCCATGCAAAGCCACCACCTCCTCTCCAAATGGCTCTTAAAATCAGCAAAGGAGTCGAATGGGTGACACTCGTCATTAAGGCACCTCTACATGAATAAATGAATATCTCCTATTACTCAAAAACACCAAGCACAGTCAATCAAAATTATAAAAACATTGACTGGTACAGTGGTGCCCCGCTTGATGACAATAATCCGTTCCAACAAAATCGCTGTACAGCGAAATCGTCAAGCGAAAAAAAAAACCATTGGAATGCATTGAAAACCTGTCAATGTGTAACAATGAGGGAAATACCTGCTCGTGCAGTGAAAATCCTCCATATGGCGGCCACTTTCCACTCCCTGTCTTGCAAAATGAGGTCAGCAAAACATTGGGGAGCCATTTTGAGAGCCGCCAATCAGCTGTTTTTAGATTGTCGTTTAGTGAAAAATCGGTTCACAAAGCAGGGGGAAAATCGTCATCAAGCGGATTTCGTTGTCTAAAGAGGTAATTGTTAAGCGGGGCACAACTGTATTATATAGCAGATACCAGTTGACCCCAAACCTAAGTACAGTATCTGTTAAATGTCAACACACTATATATGATGTTTTGTAGCTGCTATTATTATTATTATTATTAAATACATTTGTAACCTTTTACAACAACAACAAAAAAGCAAAAATGGAAAACTGTCAATTTACAATGACAGAACAAATATCTAATACAGTCAGATTTATAAATTGGGATTTGTCATATAAGACCAAATTGAAAGTCAAAATACATGCATGCAGATGCAAACCGTGTAATTGTGTAAATCACTGTGACAAATTGCCAGTACAGTAGGGCCACCATATCCACAGGATCAGTACTGTATCTGCAATTTCACTTACCTGCTACAGTACCTGGAAACCTTCCCCACCTCCGGGAAACACATATTTCTAAGATGTATTACCAGAACCGGCCACTAAATGGAGCCAGAGACTATTCTAAGAGCCCCATATCTGCTGGGGGTTGGTTCCAAGCACCCGCGGATACCGAAAACCATGGATAACACGGAACAATCGATCGAGGGCAAGAAACCCAGTCCTGTGGCAAGTCTGGACCAGGGCTCCTTCTCTCAATTATGCATGGATGCCAGAGAAACTCGTAATAAGTGCTTCACTTCTCTGCTATTTCCAGCATCCATGGAGGGCCAGGAACCAATGCTCTGGGGATACCACAATCCTATTGTAATTGCTAAATAGCTCAGTGGTTCAGACATCTGACCCCAGATGGGAGTTCGATTCCCCCCACTGTACCTCCTTGACAGGGGCTGGAGTTGATGATCCATGGGGTCCCTACCAACTCTGCTGTTCTAAGATGATGATGATTGACAGCTTGCCACTTGCATTTCCAGTCTCATGCCAAATAATGTGACTAGCAAATGTGACCAGAAATGGAAGCAGCAACGGGTTCATAAGTGGCAATTTCCTGCCATGATTTAGACATGTCTAATGAATGACAGATGGGGGATCTATTCCTTCAGACTTTGAGTACGAGTCTTTCTGCAATGGAAAGGCTTCCACTCGACAGGGAGGAAGGGCCTATTATTAGGGTTGTCCCCTGAAGACTGAGGGATCCCCGTTGGTTTCCAAAATGTCCCAGCAGGTGTTCTAGCTGATGCTCCTGTCGGGGAAGCCTTTAAAAGTGATCAGAACGAACATAAAGGCCATTAAAAGAATTCCCAACTGATTGAGGCTGCTTCGATTGAACAGGCAGGGATTTTTCCCATGTTAAACTGGATGAGTATCACTTGGTACCACCTGAGGAGGTGGACAGGGCTCTGGCTCCATGCAAAGCCACCACCTCCTCTCCAAATGGCTCTTAAAATCAGCAAAGGAGTCGAATGGGTGACACTCGTCATTAAGGCACCTCTACATGAATAAATGAATATCTCCTATTACTCAAAAACACCAAGCACAGTCAATCAAAATTATAAAAACATTGACTGGTACAGTGGTGCCCCGCTTGATGACAATAATCCGTTCCAACAAAATCGCTGTACAGCGAAATCGTCAAGCGAAAAAAAAAACCATTGGAATGCATTGAAAACCTGTCAATGTGTAACAATGAGGGAAATACCTGCTCGTGCAGTGAAAATCCTCCATATGGCGGCCACTTTCCACTCCCTGTCTTGCAAAATGAGGTCAGCAAAACATTGGGGAGCCATTTTGAGAGCCGCCAATCAGCTGTTTTTAGATTGTCGTTTAGTGAAAAATCGGTTCACAAAGCAGGGGGAAAATCGTCATCAAGCGGATTTCGTTGTCTAAAGAGGTAATTGTTAAGCGGGGCACAACTGTATTATATAGCAGATACCAGTTGACCCCAAACCTAAGTACAGTATCTGTTAAATGTCAACACACTATATATGATGTTTTGTAGCTGCTATTATTATTATTATTATTAAATACATTTGTAACCTTTTACAACAACAAAAAAAGCAAAAATGGAAAACAGTGTCAATTTATAATGATAGAACAAATATCTAATACAGTCAGATTTATAAATTGGTCTTTGTCAGTCACATATAAGACCAAATTGAAAGTCAAAATACATGTATTCAGATGCAAACCGGAAGTGTAATTGTGTAAATCACTGTGACAAATTGCCAGTACAGTAGGGCCACCATATCCACAGGATCAGTACTGTACCTGCAATTTCACTTACCCGCTACCTGGAAATCTTCCCTGCCTCCAGGAAACACACATTTCCAAGGTGTATTACCAGAACCGGCCACTAAATGGAGCCAGATTCTATACTATACAGTAAGAGCCCCATATCTGTTGGGGGTTGGTTCCAAGCACCCGCAGATACTGAAAACCATGGATAACACTGAATCAAGGGGATGGCAGCAGTTGCTGGTTTCAGGCTCCCTTGTGGGCCACTAAATGGAGCCAGAGACTATTCTATACAGTAAGAGCCCCATATCTGTTGGGGGTTGGTTCCAAGCACCCGCAGATACTGAAAACCATGGATAACACTGAATCAAGGGGATGGCAGCAGTTGCTGGTTTCAGGGAAGGCTCCCTTGTGAACAGGACGGCAAGAAATCCAGTCCTGTGGCAAGTCTGGACCAGGGCTCCTTCTCTCAATTATGCACAGATGCCAAAGAAACTAGTAGTAAGTGCTTCACTTATCTGCTATTTCCAGCATCCAAGGAGGGAGGGCTAGGAACCAATGCTGTGGGGATACCACAGTCCTATTGTAATTGCTAAATAGCTCAGTGGTTCAGACATGTGACCCCAGATGGGAGTTCGATTCCCCCCACTGTACCTCCTTGACAGGGGCTGGACTTGATGATCCATGGGGTTCCTAAGCTTGACCCCCATGGTCAGATCCTTTCCTACTGAAATTTGGACTCTACACAGCAGTACCCCCTCGGCAGGGAGGAAGGGCCTATTATTAGGCTTGTCCCCTGAAGACTGAGGGATCCCTGTTGGTTTCCAAAATGTCCTAGCAGGTGTTCTAGCTGATGCTCCTGTCGGGGGAAGCCTTTGAAAGAGATCAGAACGAACATAAAGGCCATTAAAAGAATTCCCAACTGGTTGAGGCTGAACAGGCAGGGATTTTTCCCGTGTTAAACTGGATGAGTTTCACTTGGTATCACCACCACCCCCTGCCTTGGAGTCCACGCAGGGCATTGGGGGGAGATCTAAACCACATGAATCAGCAGTTAGTGTCACTGAGCAAATCCTCCCTAAATCCACTTAGGAGTCCAGTAGGAATAAATCTGAATTATTTTATTGAACCAATGGCTGTTTTAGATTTTTTTTAAGGCAATCCTCATGGTCTCTTAATCTGTAGATTTTGCCACTGTTTGAATAATTTGATGTCTGGCTGAAGCTCTTCCTGCATCTGAGACACTGATAAGGTTCCTCCCATGGGTCAGTAATTTGATGTCTGTATTTGCGAAGGCTTTCACGGCCGGGATCTAATGGTTGCTGTGGGTTTTTCGGGCTCTTTGGCCTTGNNTTCCCACATTCCTGGCATTTGTAGGGTTTCTCTCCTGTGTGTACTCTCTGGTGTGTAAGAAGTTGCGGATTGCAAGGAAAGCATTTCCCACACTGCTGGCATTTGAAGGGTTTCTCTCCTGTGTGGACTTTGTGATGTGTCACAAGGTGCGACCTCCGAGCAAAACATTTGCCACACTCCTGACATCTGTAGGGCTTTTCTCCTGTGTGCACTCTCTGATGCTGGTCAAGATTTGATTTATCAGAAAAACACTTCCCACATTCCTGGCATTTGTAGGGTTTCTCTCCTGTGTGAACCTTCTGATGCCTGACAAGTTCTGATTTCTGAGCAAAACATTTTCCACATTCCTGACATTGATAAGGTTTCTCTCCTGTGTGGACTCTCTTATGGCTCATAAGGGCTCCCTTCTCAGTAAAGCTTCTTCCACACTCCTGGCATTTATATGGTTTTTCACCTGTATGAATAATTTGATGTTTCGTGAGGACTGAGCTCCGTATGAAGCTTTTCCCACGCTCCAGACATTTATATGGATTCTCTCGTGCGTGATTATAAAAACATTGACTGGTACAGTGGTGCCCCGCTTGATGACAATAATCCGTTCCAACAAAATCGCTGTACAGCGAAATCGTCAAGCGAAAAAAAAAACCATTGGAATGCATTGAAAACCTGTCAATGTGTAACAATGAGGGAAATACCTGCTCGTGCAGTGAAAATCCTCCATATGGCGGCCACTTTCCACTCCCTGTCTTGCAAAATGAGGTCAGCAAAACATTGGGGAGCCATTTTGAGAGCCGCCAATCAGCTGTTTTTAGATTGTCGTTTAGTGAAAAATCGGTTCACAAAGCAGGGGGAAAATCGTCATCAAGCGGATTTCGTTGTCTAAAGAGGTAATTGTTAAGCGGGGCACAACTGTATTATATAGCAGATACCAGTTGACCCCAAACCTAAGTACAGTATCTGTTAAATGTCAACACACTATATATGATGTTTTGTAGCTGCTATTATTATTATTATTATTAAATACATTTGTAACCTTTTACAACAACAACAAAAAAGCAAAAATGGAAAACTGTCAATTTACAATGACAGAACAAATATCTAATACAGTCAGATTTATAAATTGGGATTTGTCATATAAGACCAAATTGAAAGTCAAAATACATGCATGCAGATGCAAACCGTGTAATTGTGTAAATCACTGTGACAAATTGCCAGTACAGTAGGGCCACCATATCCACAGGATCAGTACTGTATCTGCAATTTCACTTACCTGCTACAGTACCTGGAAACCTTCCCCACCTCCGGGAAACACATATTTCTAAGATGTATTACCAGAACCGGCCACTAAATGGAGCCAGAGACTATTCTAAGAGCCCCATATCTGCTGGGGGTTGGTTCCAAGCACCCGCGGATACCGAAAACCATGGATAACACGGAACAATCGATCGAGGGCAAGAAACCCAGTCCTGTGGCAAGTCTGGACCAGGGCTCCTTCTCTCAATTATGCATGGATGCCAGAGAAACTCGTAATAAGTGCTTCACTTCTCTGCTATTTCCAGCATCCATGGAGGGCCAGGAACCAATGCTCTGGGGATACCACAATCCTATTGTAATTGCTAAATAGCTCAGTGGTTCAGACATCTGACCCCAGATGGGAGTTCGATTCCCCCCACTGTACCTCCTTGACAGGGGCTGGAGTTGATGATCCATGGGGTCCCTACCAACTCTGCTGTTCTAAGATGATGATGATTGACAGCTTGCCACTTGCATTTCCAGTCTCATGCCAAATAATGTGACTAGCAAATGTGACCAGAAATGGAAGCAGCAACTGGTTCATAAGTGGCAATTTCCTGCCATGATTTAGACATGTCTAATGAATGACAGATGGGGGATCTATTCCTTCAGACTTTGAGTACGAGTCTTTCTGCAATGGAAAGGCTTCCAAAGCCACTGGTTTCTCTCCTAACCTCCTCACCACAAGTACAAAATGGAAATCTACACATTCCTATGGGCTTTTCAAAAACAAAATACTTGATATAATTCCAGCCAAGTCATGTCTAAACCACATGAATCAGCAGTTAGTGTCACCGAGCAAATCCTCCCTAAATCCACTTAGGAGTCCAGTAGGAATAAATCTGAATTATTTTATTGAACCAATGGCTGTTTTAGATTTTTTTAAAGGCAATCCTCATGGTGTCTTAATCTGTAGATTTCACCACTGTTTGAATAATATGATGTCTGGCTAAAGCTCTTTCTGCATCTGAGACACTGATAAGGTTCCTCCCATGGGTCAGTAATTTGATGTCTGTATTTGCGAAGGCTTTCACGGCCGGGATCTAATGGTTGCTGTGGGTTTTTCGGGCTCTTTGGCCTTGTTCTGAAGGTTGTTCTTCCTAATGTTTCGCCAGTCTCTGTGGCCGGCATCTTCAGAGGAGAGCAACAACCAATTTGATGTCTGTTGAAGCATATGATCTTTGAAGCTTTTAAACAAAGCCAGATGTTTATATAGTTTCTCTCCTGTATGATTACCCTGATATATATTGAAGACTGATTTCTGATTTTTTTTCCCTCACACTCCGAGCTTCTCCCCTTTGTGAATAATCTGGTGTCTGCTGAAGCTTGTTCGGTAAGAGAAGCTCATTTCACACACCAGGCATTTATACGGTTTCTCTCCTGTGTGGATCCTTCGATGAACATTAAGGTTTTGTTTCTGACTAAACCTCTTCCCACACTGCGGGCACGTATATGGCTGTTCTCCTGTGTGCTTCCTCTGATGTATCCTTAGGTTTCCCTTCTCAGTAAAGCTTCTTCCACACTCCTGGCATTTATATGGTTTTTCACCTGTATGAATAATTTGATGTTTCGTGAGGACTGAGCTCCGTATGAAGCTTTTCCCACACTCCAGACATTTATATGGATTCTCTCGTGCGTGCATCATTTGGTGTCTCTTGAGATACGATTGCTGACTGAACATCTTCCCGCACTCTGGACATTTATATGGTTTTCCTCCTGTGTGAGTTTTCTGATGGGCAGTGAGCTTTTTCTTCTGGCTGAAACTCTTTCCACACTCGAGGCATTTATACTGTTTTTCCCACGTGTGAAGAGTTTGGTGACTCTTGAGATGTGCTTTCTGACCGAAGCTCTTTTCACCTTCCAGGCATTTAACCAGTTGCTCACCTATGATTTTGCCATGGCTTCTGGGCTGTGTATCCCACTGAATGTTTTCTCCCTTCCACTGGCATTTATGTGTTATTTCCTCTTTGTGGTCGTGAGCACGAAGACCGGATTGCCACTCAATCTGTTCTCCACCTGCAAGGCCTCCTCTGTCTTGATCTATTTTTTCTTGTCCTGGAATTTCAATGGCCTCACCAGCTGGAAAAGCAGGTGATGTCTTCTTCCTTTTCTCTTCAACACATATTTTTTCATTCCGCTCTCCCCTCTCTTTAGATCTCGGCCTTTCCAGCAGCACTTTGTACAGTGTTCCTTCATTTTTATTCTCCCATTCATCACCGCCTTGGAAGGAAAGAAAAAACTGACATGAGAAGACAGAAAAGAGAATCGAACTTAGAGAGAAAGTGTCATTTCACGGAACTTTTAACTACTTCTTTATTACACTGTTAAATCACTCAGGAGCACACATTCTCTAGGCAGTGTACAAAGAGTGAAAAGTGTAAAATAAACCATTTGGAAATGGTGGAGACAACTGATGAGAAAACCCAGAGAACATCAGCAGAAAATATAAAAACACTATGGTATAAAATTATGGTATAAAAGAAAGCTGACCGCCGAAGAATTGATGGTTGTTCTGGGTTTTTCGGGCTCTTTGGCCGTGTTCTGAAGGTTGTTTTTCCTGACGTTTCGCCAGTCTCTGTGGCCGGCATCTTCAGAGGACAGCAACCTGTCTGAAGTGATGCTTTTGAATTGTGGTGTGGAGGAGGCTCTTGAGAATCCCCTGGACTGCAAGGAGAACAAACGTATCCATTCTTAAGGAAATCAAGCCTGAGTGCTCACTGGAATGACAGATCCTGAAGCTGAGGCTCCAATACTTTGGCCCTCCCATAGTGCAGACAAGCCCTGGTGTCAAAGTGGGACAAAAAACATTGTTTTCTGAGGGTTGTTTCCCATCACCACTATACGGCGGTATATTTTTGTTCTGATTTGCTCCAGTACAAGATCTGCTTGTACAGACTCCCTGGAAAAGACCCGGATGTTGGTAAAGTGTGAAGGCAGGAGGAGAAGGGGATGACAGAGGACGAGATGGCTGGACAGTGTCTGCGAAGCAACCAACATGAATTTAACCCAACTCTGGGAGGCAGTGGAAGACAGGAAGGCCTGGCGTGCTGTGATCCATGGGGTCATGAAGAGTCAGACACGACTAAACGACAACATAAAATCACTAGATAGAGCATATCAAACCTAGATAGAGCAAGGAGTAAAAAATGGAAGAAGAAAAAACTATAAGAAAAACAACTCGGAGCATGAAAAATTATGGTTCAGTTCCTGAAATGTTCTTGTTTCCTTGGCTACCCACAGGGTAGACAGGCTACCCACAGGGTATATTATTTTTTCTCTTGAGTCATGCCATCTTGGTATTGTGTTGTATGTAACGAATTGTTATAATTGCACTTTTGATGATTTTACATATGGTATACTGTTTGTGTTTTATCTATGTAAGCCGCCCTGAGTAGACATTATCTAGAGCGGCAGGGTAAAAATCAACTAACTAACTAACTAACTAACTAACTAACTAACTAACTAACTAACTAACTAACTAACTAACTAACTAACTAAATAAATAAATAAATAAATAAATAAATAAAGGATCCTTGCACGTATCCTACCTCAGCAGGGTACTGAACACCTAAGCAGAACCCAACACATGCTACTCTGATTTCCTTGCAAATGGCATTAGATAGATATTAAAGAAGTAATGCAATGGAGAAATATAGTTCCTACTCCAGTCCTCTGAAGATGCCGGCCACAGAGACTGGCGAAACGTTAGGAAGAAAAACCGCCATAACACGGCCGAACAGCCCGAAAAACCTACAACAACCAAAGGAGAAATAGTTCAGTGCTTTTGGTTTTATGTTGAAGAGAGAGATAAGCAGGTGATGTAGCCTGATTTTTCAGTTAAGTCTCTTTCTCAACACAGCACCGCAAGAGGGGAGAGCCAGAATCAGTAAGAAAAGCCCTATAGAGCACAACCCTACACCATCATGATTTCCTGGAGCGGAGGTCTCCATGTTCAGAGGAATTATGCCTGTGATCCCCAGTTGCTCAGAAGCAAGTTACTAGAGAATAATAAGATATTCACACCCTGTGGCAGTAGTAGTGGTGGTCGGTCAGTTTCCAAAGGCTTCTGACTGGGTAATGTGGGAATGGGAGTACAGAACAAGCTGGCTCAAGAAAGCAAGGCACCTATTTTCTTCCCATTTATGTACATGGAACTGCAATCCCAGAGCATACCAGTTCTGTCACAAAATACGCAATGATTCAGGAACAGACATCCCATAGAATCATAGAGGCACAAAGCTAGAAGTGACCCCAAAGGTCATCAAGACCAACACCTTGCTAAAAGAGAAAATCTATATTTAGAGCATGCTTAGCAGGGGAGCCATCAAAATGCCTGTTTAAAAACTACCAATGAAACAGTGTCCATCATTTTGTCCATCAATCTAGTCTCGCTGTCAAACTGCTCTTACGGGTCAAGAAGTTCTTCCTCATGTTTAGATGAAATCTTCCCATAATTTGAATTCATCACTTCAGTTCCTCTCCTCTGGAGCTACAAAAAAAACAAACTTGCTCCGTCTTTCAAGGGGCAGCCTTTCAAATATTTGAGCATGGACCTCTTACTGTGTCTCCATCTTCTCTTCTCTAGGCTAAACATGGCTCCCTCACCCTTTCCTCTTAGTTTCCACACTTTAACCATCCTGGTTGCCCACCTCTGGCTAGGTTATTGATATCCTTCCTTAGCTCGGATACCCAGAACTGGACATAGGATTCCAGGTGAATTCTGACCGAAGCAGAACAGAGTGGAACTGTGATTTCCCTTCATCTGGACACAATAAACACAAGGTACTGCTGACTTATGTTAAGCTTGTGCTCCATTATAACCCTTAGTATAGGATGGGGATGACATTTCCTTGCCTCCAGATCCTTCACTTGTTTCGAAGAAATCTCTGAGTTTATAAACAAAGGCTCTGAGATTATACTGTACACCTTCATGGACCTTTAATATCATTCTGAATGTGGTCCGTCTGTGGCCCAGGAGACTAAAATTCACTTACCATTGTTAGGAGTTCTCATACCATCTCTAACTATTCTGGGCAGTCTACTGCTGTTTTAACACTTGCCAAAGAAGCTGTTCCTGAAAAGAAAGCCTATAAACCGAAAAATGCTGGAAGATAAACTAGAACAAAAAAAGGAGAGGTGATTATTTCCTGCCAGTTATAAACTGATTTTAGAGGGCAAGGAGAATCCTTACCGAGAGAGGCCACCATCCCATAATTCTCTAGCATGACTTCCCTGTGCAAGGATCGCTGGTCCCAATCCAGCTGGGCCCACTCCCCCTTGGTGAAATGCACAGCCAGCTCCTCAAAGGTCACCTGAAAGAAGAAAACATCATTTTTTCTTAGATCAATTGGGGCTTCTCCAAATCTCTGCAGCATTAAAATAACTAAACATTAAATCGACACAGTCTCGGCGGAGGTTCAAACAGGGACTGGGTCCATCCAGAATAGCCCTATCAGTGGGCAGAGTAAAGGAGGTGGATTGGGAGCAGAAAATAATCAGCCTCAGCTCTCTTAATTCTCTGCTTGGATGTCTAGTGAGTCTTCCCGTACCTGAGCCAGTTGCACAGAAACTTCTCCTGTTGAACAGCAAAGAAGAGACGTACGGCTAAGTTGTGCCGGCATTTGAGGTCCATCTCCTGTGAGAAACACAAAAATGCAGAGAGCATCTATTTTTGATTTTGGCACTGTCATTAAGTCAACCATTAGTGGGGATGCTGGCTGGAGGATTCTGGAGATGTGCAAAAAAGGTAACTTTTCCAAGTTCTTTGCAACATGGGCAGTGTAAACTGGAGATGCTCACTAGCTGTGAAATCCTGATTCTTGGGAGGACAAAGGAGGATTGGGAATGATCAAAATTCACCCTGATATATTTGTCTAATATCCAGTTCTAGTATTGTATCTTGGAAACTTGTATTTTTGGGGGGGGGGTTATTTAATATTTTTAGGCAGTGGATAAGTGAAACTGTTCCTACTGATTCCGTGGATATGGGGGTGGTGGTACCTACCATATTGGATATATTTCAGTGTTTCTCCAAATTTCTCTATTTTCCTAGAAAAATTAATGGAGCTAAATTAATGCATTTGTCTCCAGGGCTTTGGAATTTATGGAAATGTTAAATTTCTGCCAAAAATCTGTGCTCTTCCTGAGCTCAGGAGAACAAAAAGCCCACCCATAGATTTTAAGTGTTCTTGAGATATGAATACCAAACTAAAATAATGCACCCCAAATCCTTACCCAGTGAAGTGCCACCTCCGTCTTCTTCCAACACGATCCGCCTGGACAGTGGCTTCTCTGTGGTGTCATGTGCGGCCTTCCGTAGTTTCCAAGTGTCAATGGTCTCCTCTGCAGACAAGTCCTGCATAGAGATAAACTTTTTCAAAAGGCACCAAGGATTGCAGGGGAAGAGAACAGTAAAAAAAGAATAATACAGAAAAGATATTGATGTGGAGTATCCCTTCCTAGCAACCTGAACAAATTCCTGAGAATAAGTAGGTAAGGGGTGGGAAATTACAGTGGTGCCTCGCATAATGAGCGCACCGTACAACGACGAATTCGCATAGCGATCCCTTTTTTGGGATCGCTAATGCAAAGGCATACCGGCAGCCCCAATGGTCAAAACTCGCATTGCGAAGATCGGTAAGCGTTTCGCTTACCGATCTTCGCATTGTGATGTCGGGAAATCAGCTGATCGGCGGCTCAAAAATGGCCGCCGCACAACCCAAAATGGCTGCGCGCAGTGTTTTCACGCCCTGCCCTCGCTTACTGAGGGCGCGAAAATGGCTGCCAGATGGGGGAAACTTCGCTAAATGGTGAGTACAGAAGCCATTGGAACGCATTAAACTAAGTTTAATGCATTCCAATGGCATTTTCTGTTCCGTTTAGCGATGTTTCCCCATAGCAACGGTTAATATGGAACGGATTAACCTCACTATGCAAGGCACCACTGTATTTGAAACTCCTGGAAATGCAGTCACTAGGAACAAACGCTATTGAATATCCTCACCTGCCGCTCTTCCTGCTGTCTCAGAAGAAAGCCTTCGGCCAGGGCCACCGCCTGGAAACTCGTTTCTGCTCCACAGTCTCTCACCCAGCTGGATATCTCGGAGGGAAGGATGGTCAGGAGCTTCTCCAGGATGACCAGGTCCAGGATCTGAGCTTTTGTGTTCTGTTCGGGCTTCAACCACTGACGGCAAAGATCATGGAGTCGGGAGCAAGCTTCTCGGGGGCCCTCGGCTTCTTCGTAGCAGAACTGCCTGAAACACTGGCATCGTCTGCCTGAGCTGTGAGAGGACTCGTCCTGAATGTGCTCCACAGTTCCCTTCATCAATCCCCCATTTCTCACAGGAGGGAGGGTGCTGGGACTTCTTCCTGCCTGAAGACCTGCCAAGGTTTGCCCCTCCTTATTTGGAATATAATTCAAGTCAGGTTCCAGCATGGCCACAAGATCCCTTTCTGACAGATTCTGCCTGTAGGCAATGCAGGGAGAACTGCTGGGGGGAGTACCACAACCTAGAAAGTGAACACAACGTTCTGTGAATCAGGTATTACAATTTGTGAAGTAGGATGACCTTTTACAATAAGATTCAATCTGGCAACGAGTTCCTTCCACTATAGGAAGGACACATTTGATGAATCAAAGAGAAGTTAGAGCCAATCATGTTGGGAAAGATCTTTGTTGTCTGTTAGTAGACGTACAAGGCAAGATCCTCTCCTTTGGTTTGTCCTCCTTGGGGGGGGAGCACCTCTTTGCCTTCTCTTCAGCACTCCGCTGTGACACTCTTCATCCTCTCTCAACAGGGTTGCAACATCATCTCCTTTAATTCATCTTGGGGGAGGAAAAAAATCCTGGTTTGCTTTCCTGTGACCCACTCCCCAGGTTCCCCCTTTTTGCAGATGTCCAAGATTGCATGGTTCTGCTTTGCTTTTGAAGTTGTCTGGATAGCTCGGGTATCTGGCTGCAGAAGCAGAGGTTGAGGGTTCAATTCCCCCACTGTGCCTCCAGGGAGAAGAGCCAGCCTGGGTAGCCTTGGGCAAGAGGAGCCATCCCAGAAGAAGGGAATGGGAAACCACTTCGGAGTACTCTCTACTGGGAAAACCCTGGAAAAGGTCACCATTAAATCAAACTGACTTGATGGCGTAGAGTTATTATTTATTTTAAAGTGTGTTGAGTCCCTTATAAACGGTTATCATAGAATCATAGAAATGTGAAGTTGGAAGGGGCCTACAAGACCATCAAGTCCAACCCCGCTGCTCAATACAGGAATACCATCAAAGCATATCTGTTATACAAATCTTTCTCCGTATAGATTTAGAATATGCTAACAAATATGGAAAACAAAACAATGGCCAACTGATTTGCATACCTTACAGTCTTGAAGACACTCAACACCAAGGATTGCAGTAAGTATCGGACCACCGCAGGAATTTCCCATGCAAGCAAAACAATACTCAAGATTTAGCAACAAAGACTGGAGACCAAGAGCAACTTTCCTACAATTTTCCTGACTGATGTGGAGAAGAGGAAAAACTGCATAATTCAATAGATGTACACCGCCCAGAGTAGCAGTTTGCTAAATGGGCAGTACATAAGTACATAAATAAATGCAAAATGTCATGTTGGAAGACAGCTTCTAACAAACGAGAAAGCACGAGAGATCACATGAAGGCTCCAACTGTCTCCGGAAGCAAAAAAATGACTGAATTGAAGCACTTCCTAAGAAGGCAGGACATACTGCTAGAGGCATTGATCCTAAGAAGTGCAGAAGGCAGGAGAAAAGAAGAGGACCAAACGTGGTCTTCAGGCTGCAAGACCTGACTGAGCAGGGCTGCTAAGGACAGGATCTTTCAGAGCTCACTGATTCCTGGGCACCACAAGCCAGAAAGAGCTGACCGCACGTCATGACAACCAAGCATGCAAGGTTTTGAGCTCTGCAGAATTCTTCACTAGATGGAAGGCTCCAACTGTCTCCGGAAGCAAAAAATGACTTTCACTAGATGATTGAAAAAAAATTATACAGTGGCGCCTCGCTAGACAGTTATCCCACTTGACAGTTTTTTCATTAGACATTGGCTTTCTGCGACCGCTATAGCGATTCGCAAAACAGTGATTCCTATGGGGGAATTTCGCTGGACAATGTTTGGTCCCTGCTTCGCAAACCAATTTGCGCTAGACGACGATTTTGACAGCTCCCTCCGCGCTCGCAAAACAGGTGTTTTCGGGACTGAAGCTTCGCAAGGTTATACAGTGGCGCCTCGCTAGACAGTTACCCCGCTTGACAGTTTTTTTTTGCTAGAATTGGCTTTCTGCGACCGCTATAGCGATTCGCAAAACAGTGATTCCTATGGGGGAATTTCGCTGGACAATGTTTGGTCCCTGCTTCGCAAACCGATTTTCGCTAGATGACGATTTTGACAGCTCCCTCCACGCTCGCAAAACAGGTGTTTTCAGGACCTAAGCTTCGCAAGGCAGCGATTTAAACAGCTGATTGGCGGTTCACAAAGCGACTTTCCTATGGCCGATCTTTGCTAGACAACGACAATTCTTCCCCATTGGAACGCATTAAACAGGTTTCAATGCATTCCAATGGGGAAATGCTTTTCGCTAGACAATGATTTCGCTAAACAGCGATTTCAGTGGAACGGATTATCATCGTCTAGCGAGGCACCACTGTACTAGTCAAGGAGATGCAGGGAATTATACAGATGTAGCTGTAAAGAACATTTGGTCATGGAGTGAAGAGGGGAAGAGAAGGTTCTTGCTTGTGCTTTCTTATCCCCCTCCCCACAGTGATGCCAGCCTCTCCCCATTCCTCCCCACCATACCAGTTACAGGCTAGGGTCTCTCCCTTCCACCCCCACCCTATTGGACCCATATGTACCACAAGGGAATGGGGTGGGCAGGAGGGACTCACCAGTTTAGCCCCTCCGCAAGTCCTGGGGGGTCTCCTTCCTTCAGCTGGAGGGTCGGTGGGGGAAATGATGCTCCTCTCTCTGGACAGAAAACGGGGCTGCACTAAATTGGGGCCCTCCTGTCTCTCTTCATTTCGGCTGCCCCACTCACTCCCTGCAAGGCACCCACTTCCAGACTCTCTAGGAGGAACTTTCAATCCAAAGGCAGGAATGTGAGGGGGGAAAGTTTGTGTGACGCACGCTTCCTGCTTCACCTCTTTCTCCGAACTCCTTTCCTCTCTAGGAATTCTACCTCTTTCGATTTAACCCTTAAGGAATGTTTTTCTTTGCCCAGCCAAAGGCTCCTTCAGGCCCTGTTCTGTCTCAGTATTCAGCCCCCATAAAGAGGACTTCTATTGAGTAAGGACGTGGCTGTCAGTATAGGATCCAATTACAAAAGTCCTTTTTTGGTAGTTTCTCCTGGAATCTAACTTGCCTTTTTCCTTTCCAGATTCTTTTGTTTTTACTCTGGTCTTTTCCCAGGAAAATGATTATCTTGCTTCCGTAATTACAAGAGACTGATCAAGACAGTGATCAATGAAGAAGTACTAAAGTGGAATACATAATAAAACACAACAGCAAGAAGTGAAATATTTTACTCGGATCTTGAAAAATTGAGGCCATGTCGCAAGTCCTTTAGTTTTTATAATTTAATTTTTCTATGAAAAGGAGGTATGACAACACTATGAGAGGAGATATGACAACACTCTTCTAATAGGGGAAAAATTCTCATTCAAAGGATGGTCAGAATCTGTTCTCAGTCATTCCAGACTGCAGGACACCTAGGAATGGGCTCAAGCTAAAAGAAGGCAGATTTTGGTTCAACATCAGGGGGAAAAAATCTCTGTTAAGAGGAGTATGACAGTGGAACAAATTATTTTGGGAGGTGGTGAGTGCTCCCAATGCTGGAGGCCTTCAAGAAAAAGTCAAGGCTTGTCCACACCGTCAGGTTCAAGCAGGCTAAATAGGTTCGCTATGAGTTTCCTTGCATCTAAATGGCATATACTACAGGCTTCAAGTAACCCAAATTGCTCTGCACCAGCCGGCTGTCAATTTACCAGTACTGTATTGCGAAGAGGCTTATGAAGAGAGCAGAGAAAGTGTCTAATTTGCCAATATCTTCAAGTGGCTCTCTTATTAAGCCATATCACAATACAGGCAAATTGAATGGAAGGATTGCTTTTGATTCATTTCCAGGGATCACGTGCAATGGGAACAAACCAAAGCAGAGCAATCAAACTCACACTAAAAAAGGTAGAAGGCGTTCGTGGGGCCAGAAAGCTGCACTTCAGAATGCTCTAGCAGCTGGCTGCTACTCCAGAAAAATATATCATCTGATCCCTATCTAAAGGTGCAAACCATCCAATCCCATCAACGCCAGTATAGTTACCCCTTTAGAAGAATATCCAACAGATATACTTTAATTAGGATTCCTGCATTGAGCAGGGATCTGGACTTGATCCTATTGCTATTTGGTCACCGACGCAGAAAGCTGTTCTCTTGCAAGTGTCACCCTTCCTAAATGGAGAGTGATAGAAGGGTGTTGTGACACTATTCTTATCTCCTTCTTCACTCCTTTGCATTCATTCCTTGCAGAAGAAAGAACACCATGGTGCGTAAAAGGGAAGAAAGGGCAACAAAGTATTTGGGGTGAAATAAGAGACAAACCATCTATATATAGGCAGTTGGAGACGGGAGAGACAGATAAATGGGATGATGACGACTTGTTTATTTGAGAAAACAACTGAAAATGTATTTCTGACACCTAAGAATGTAAACATTTTAATCTGAATGCGGAAGATATTCTACATGTTTACACATTGTTTAGTTTCTCTGCCCGCTGAGTATCAGCCCATCATTGATAAGAAAAAGGTTTAAACATATGTGTTTTTTTTTTGGGGGGGGGAGGAATATGAAATTTTACTTTCCAGTGTTCTTCAATTAAGCCTCGACACTAAACATCACATTTTGTAACTCTCTTGATCCCACAAATCACCTTTGACAAATAGTGATGGGTTTTATCCAGACTATTACACAACTTGTTCATATCTAGTGCCAAAAATAGTGATCCTATTTATGTCTGATTGTATTCTATTTCATATAGTGGTCACTTCATCTCAAAAAAATTATTTATTATGAAGCATCCTTGATTCTTGTCAACTATACGTTTTATTATTATTTTGAGAAATCAGAATCCCAACAATTGCTTTAAATAGCTGTTTTTGTGATAAAACCTTGGACTGAGTACTATTAAATAATTTCTCCCATTTTCTTGTGGATTTTTTGATGTGCAATAAGATAATCTTTCCTAACAAATCTATTTCCACACTCCAAGCATTGAAATGGTTTCTCCCCTGTGTGGGTTCTCTGATGGTACGTGAGGTGTATCATTTGGCTGAAGCTTTTCCCACACTCCAGGCATTTAAAGGGTTTCTCTCGTGTGTGAGTCCTTTGATGAGAAGTGAGGTAATCCTTCCGAGCAAAACATTTTCCACACTCCAAGCATGGAAAGGGTTTCTCCCCTGTGTGGATTCTTTGGTGGTTTATAAGGTGTGAGGGATGACCAAAATTCTTTCCACACTCCAAGCATTTATATGGTTTCTCTCCAGTGTGAATCTGCTTGTGAGTTGTAAGGTGCGAGGAACGACTGAATCTCTTTCCACACTCAGAGCATTGAAATGGTTTCTCCCCTGTGTGAACAGCTTGATGACAAGTGAGGTGGATCTTCCGACGAAAATTTTTTCCACAGTCCAAACATTTAAAGGGGTTCTCCTCCGTATGAGTGATTTGGTGTAACATGAGTTGTGAACTCCGACCGAAGCTCATTCCGCACTCCACGCATTTAAATGGTGTCTCTCCAGTGTGAATTATTTGGTGTGACTTCAGGTGTGGCCTCTGACTGAAGCTTTTCCCACACTCTAAGCATTTGAAGGGTTTCTCCCCAGTGTGGCTTCTCTGATGACACAAGAGGCTTTTCTTGATACTGAAGCTCTTTCCACACTCCAAACATGTAAACGGCTTCTCCCCTGTGTGGATCCTTTGGTGTAAGGTCAGAGTTGAGCTCTGACTGAAGCTCTTACCACACTCCAAGCATGAAAAGGGTTTCTCCCCTGTATGGATCCTTTGGTGGTTCATGAAGTGTGAGGAACGACTGAAGCTCTTCCCACACTCCATGCATTTAAAGGGTGAGGAACGACTGAAGCTCTTCCCACACTCCGAGCATTTAAAGGGCTTCTCCCCTGTATGGCTTATTTGATGGGAAAGTAGAGATTTCCTAAAGCGGAAGGCCTTTCCGCACTCAGCACACTTGAAAGATTTCTCTTCTTGTTGGGCTCCCTCAGGGAGACCAAGACTTCTGTGACAACGGACACTTTCACCACAATCTAGGCAGGAACCTTGAAGCTCTTCCCACACTCCGAGCATTTAAAGGGCTTCTCCCCTGTATGGCTTATTTGATGGGAAAGTAGAGATTTCCTAAAGCGGAAGGCCTTTCCGCACTCAGCACACTTGAAAGATTTCTCTTCTTGTTGGGCTCCCTCAGGGAGACCAAGACTTCTGTGACAACGGACACTTTCACCACAATCTAGGCAGGAACCTTTTTTCTTTTCTTCATCTATTGATTCTGAGACTTGGAATCCAAAGACTTCACCAGCCTGTGAGGTAGAGCCTTCGTTCTTCTCTTTTGTCTCAGAGGTCGTTTGCTGCTCTTCCTTCTCTTCCCACGTGACTCTTTCCAATAAGGCAGCCTTGCTTGCTTCTCCTCCCTTTTCACTCTCCTGCTCCCCTCCTTCTGGAAGAGACAGAAATTTGGTTAAAATACCCAAGAGAGAAAAGAAGCCAAATAATTTCTACCATTCTTTGGTTGACACCTAGCAGCACTATCCCAGAAGACATGGGGGATACAGTGGTACTTTGACTTATGAACTTAATCAGTTTTGGAATGGCATTCGTATGTTGAAAAGTTCGTAAGTTGAAGCACCATTTCCCATTGAAATGCATGGGAATGGAATTAATCTGTTCCAGCATTTCAAAAGGCAAAAAAGCAGGGGGAAAGGGCTGGAAATTCCAATTTCCTGCCTTTCTCCCTGCCTTTTTGGCTTCGGAGGTCTCAAACGGCTTCCTCCGATGTTGGAGGGAAATCCCTTTGAGACCTCCGAAGGCTCCCAGCAGTGGTGGCGGGGACCCCCAGGGAGGTTTCCCAGGGCGTGCCTGCCACCATGGGAGCCCTCCCTGGGGGTCCCTGCCACCGCGATCGGCACCCGCAAATGGCTCCCTGCAAAAAGGCAGGGAGAAAGGGCTGGAAATTTGAATTTCCCGCCCTTTCTTCCTGCCTTTTTGACTTCAGAGCTCTCAAAGGGCTTCTCCCCCCCAACATCGGAGGAAGCCCTTTGAGACCTCCAAAGCCAAACAGGGAGAAAGGGCGGGAAATCTGAATTTCCAGCCCTTTCTCCCTGCCTTTTTGCAGCGAGCCATTTGCGAACAGAGCCTCGACCTTGTTTGTAGGTCGAGCTCCATTCACAAGTCGATGCCAATTTTTGCCAACGGAGCCGTTCATAAACCGAAGAGTTCATATCTAGGGACGTTCGTAAGTCGAGGGTTGACGGTAGTTCTGCTGTGATACCAACTCCACTTAACCCTTCTCTGAAATCTTTCCTGGGGGAAAAATGCCGCCGAATAAAGATTTTTGTAACTGTAAGAACTGGTAATAAGTTTGTTTGGTATGTTTTGGGTATGTGTATGTCCTCTTTCACAGATCACAACCCAGTCAGCAGAGGATGTGGTTTGTCATTAATCCACATGTAATGGGATGATGATCAATATCTGCTGATTCATTTACCCGCTGCCTGAAAATACTAAATAAAAACCCCTCAGAAATACGTATTTACATGTATTTCCGAGGTATATTTACCAGAACTGGCCACTAGAGGAAGTCAGAGATCGTGCAATGTATAGCATTGTTGTTGTTGTTGCTGTTGTTGCTGTTGTTGCTGTTGTTGTTGTTTGTTGTTGTTGTTGTTATGCCGCATTTCTCTCAACAAAAGGACCAAAGGTGGCTCACAGCATTAAAATTCACACAATTAAAACATAATAAGTTAAATATTAAAAGATAAATTAAACAATATATAATATTAAACAAAATTAGAAGATTAAAACATGGAAAAGATTAAAATTATCTGCTAAACAAACTGATCTGTGGATCCTTTCCGCATTCTGGGATATTCGTGGGGGTGGGGAGCCAATCCCCCACAGAGACCACAGCCCTCCTACACAACTCTCACCGTTCCTGGCTCGCACAGCTAGCGGCGGTGATGGTGCAGAGAGTTGGGTTTGGATTTTGGATTCTGGGCTCCAGTTCCAGCTTTTGACCGCCGCGGAAAGCTGGGATGCAGATTAAAATGCTCAGCAGCCTAAGACGGTGGGTGGGAGACCTCTCCCCGTCCCTTATTTATCACCCCCGTCCTGTGTGGAATGCAGGGTTGCTTCCTCCTTCATGCTGACCGTCTTCTGAGGCGGCACGCAATGGCCCAGCTTTCCCTTCTCTTTGTGGGAAGGACCGGGGCATACAATGACACCCCCCCAAAAAACCACTCACTTTCCACCTTTTTTTAAAAAAATACTCCCTTGTATATGTTTGTGTCATTTGGTGGCAGAAATTAAGAGCGATCAAAAGAAAGGATGCTGCTCAATTGTTTAAGAATTTATCCACCATACCTTTAAGGCACTCCTTCACCGAAGTTGGCTGGGTTATTACAAATGTAAAAATTAAACAGCCGTGCAATGAAGAAACGAACAAAGAAGCAGGATATAAGACGAAGAGAATAAGGGAGATACGTCCGTCATTGCGGTCAGTGAACAGTACAAGCTGCAATAGAGTAGGACTGCAAAAGACCCAGATGAAGACCGACATCTCCTTAGGAAAGAAAATTCACCCATGGAGAGTCATTACTAGGAATCGCTTCCAGTCACTGGCCTCTTATCCCCTTATCTGGCTGGTGGAGGAGGGCCTCAGGCCATGAGCTTAAAATTCAGGGGGAAATTCCCCCCCCCCCCCCCCCCGTGTTGCCTTTTCAAGCAGTCCCCAGATTATTCAATCAGTTGTTTTTAAGGGTGATTAGAGAATGACAGTGCTGTGAAGAGAAGCAGGACATGGAGGGGGGAGTGTGCTAAGAAGAGCCCCGCTGGATCAGGCCAAGGGCCCATCTAGTCCATCTCCCTGGATCTCACAGGGGCCCCCACCAGATGCCTCTGGGAGCACATAAGATGTAACTGTCTCCTGACCCCCCTCCTCTGCATCCGGCCTTTGGAGGGACCTTCCTTCGAAGCCTGGAGATTGTACACCCCCATCATCGTGGGTTGTCACTTGCAACGAAGCAGATGCCCTCACCACATGCTGTGGCAAGGAATTCCACAGACTAACAACACGCTGGGTCAAGAAATATTTTCTTTGGTCTGTTCTCACTCTCCCCACACTCCATTGGAGTGGGCGTCCCCTGGCTCTGGTATGGCCCGAGAAGAAAAAAAAGAGCTCCCCACACTCCATTGGAGTGGGCGTCCCCTAGCTCTGGTATGGCCCGAGAAGAAAAAAAGAGCTCCCCTCTGTCCACTTGATCCATCCCTTGCAGAATTTGATACCTCTCAACCATGTCTCCCCCTCAGGTGCTTTTTCTCTAGACTCAAGAGCCCCAAACGCTGCAGCCTTTCCTTAGAAAGGAGATGCCCCAGCCCAGTCACCCTTTGAGTCACTCTCTTCTGCACCTTTTCCAGGTCCACTCTGTATTTTTTTGAGGTGCGGCGACCAGAACTGTACACAATATTCCAGGTGTGGCCTTACCAGATAGACCTTTGGGGGGCTGTTGCCCACTGAAGATGTGGTTCATCACTTTGAAGTCCATCCTTAGTACCGTATTTGCCGGTGTACAGTATAAGGCGACTGGGTGTATAAGACGGCCCCCCAACATTCCCACTCAGAATGTAGAGTTTGTTATATACTTGTTGTATAAGACTACCCCCTCTTCCAATTGCGTGATTCTGCTTTGGCTGCATCATGGGGAGAGTTCCTTTTGCCCCTTTTGGTTCCTTTTCGGAGAGAGCCAGGGTTTGCTGGAAGAAGGAACAGCAGAGAGGCGGCAGCCATTTTGGAGAGGCGGGAGCCATTTTCAGAGGCAGCAGCCATGTGGTCGCATCTCAAAATGGCTGCCGTCTCTCTGCTATTCCGACAGTCAGCTGTTCGGTGCTAGAGTCAGGCTGTTCCCAGGTTAGGAGCGGGGCTCTACTCGGTCTTACTACCAGGTAAGTGACTTCGCTGGGAGAGAGGGAGGGTTTGCTAGATATGCACCCGGTGTACAAGACTACCCCCCCCCCACTTGGAGGCATGTTTTTCAGGGCCAAAAAGTTGTCTTGTACGCCGGCAAATACGGTAGTACCTCGTGATGTGACACGGTAGCTTTTGAGAAAGATCTGCTAGCTTAGAACTTCTAGGGGACCAAGAGCCAGGCAGTCTGGAAGAAGAGAATGACGTAGCCCCTCCAGGATTGGAGAAAGAGACAACAGAAGGTAATATTCTACCTCAGTCTGACTCTTCCTGCTTGCAGCTGCCATTTTGGGACATCGGATTCCATGGCGATAGCATCTGGTGAAGAGGGCTTTGGTTGTATAGTTGCTTTTACCCTTCACCCCTACCTTCATCATCAAACTCAGACGAAGAGTCTAGAAAACTTGCCCTTTGGATGGCACTTCAATAGGCCAATAAAACTAGGATCCAATTTGCGTATTTTATTTGACTTGTGGACCACATTGCTAAGTTTCCTTTCTACTGTAATCAGCATCATCTGAACTGATTAACTGGGACGGAGAGAACCTTACCCAATGAAAAGACAGTCACCAAATTCTCCTCCATGACTTCCCAATATAAGGCCTTTTGGTTCCGATCAAGCAAGGCCCATTCCTCCTCAGTGAAATACACAGCCACGTCCTCAAAGGCCACCTGAAACAAAAAAAAAAGTGTAACCTGTGAACCGGAAACATGGGGATAAGGATGTTGCTTGGGGTTGCCAAGCAGCACTAAAATCTTCAGGCAAGGTATTCATAGATGTCTTAAGGCATCTATGAATGGAAGCAAGGAGATGCAGCCCCAGAAAAACATCAAAGAGACAGGGACACTCAACCAGCCTTCCTCTTCAACCTTCAATGGTCCTCCCTTGACATATAGTCTCACAGAGATTGTTCTCAGAACATGAGATTGAAAAGTTGAGCTACTTCATACTCTCCGCCCTCCTCCAGTGGTTTCATATGGGTGTTAAATAGCTGAGGAGACAAGACAGCACCTTGCAAGACCTTTTGCTGTCAAGGATAAGCATCACAGAGCTCAGCAGTTCTCCCAGCGATACCGTCGGAGATGGGATTCAGTCTATTCTAAGGCAGGGTCCTTTCCCCTCCAACCTACTCAGCATCTCCAGGAAAAGAAGAAGCCACTGAGAGAGAGGTCTTGATTCATTCCAAGGGTACCGTTTCCCACAACTCTCTCCCAAAGAAAATAGTCTCCCAGAGCAGTGGTCCCCAACCTTTTTGGCACCGTGGACCAGCTGAGCCTCCAAGGAAGGCCCCCCCCCGCAGGTGCACATGCGCTCTTGGGTGCATGCACAAAGCGGTGGGGGAGCATTCGTGCCAGCGGTAGCGCGAACGCTCCCCCACCCCTTCACGCATACGCAGGGGTGCCCGCATGAACACCCACCCCTTCGCTGGGGCACATGTGTGAAAGGATGGGGGAGTGCTCACGCCGGTGCTGGCAGCATGCATCTGTGTGTGCATGTGGGGGGGTTGTCAGTGTGGGAATGGGCATGTGGGTGTCTGTGTGGGCATGTGGTGGGGGCAGGAGATCTGTCTCCATGGCGCGGTCCTGCCAAGGCCACAGCCTGGTCCCGGGCTACGGACCGGGGGTTGGGGGACCCTTTCCTAGAGTGTTGAAGGCTGTCCATGTTTATAGCCAGACTGGAATGGGTCAAGATAGGTAGCTTCATCCTGAAACACCCACAACCAACAGTAATGGCGCTAACAAATAGGTCATCATGCTCCGGCCCCTCCAGGGTGTTCTGCGGGTGCCTTCAAAACAGGAGACATGATTTCCTTTCTTCAAATCAACTGACCCAGCGTCCGTGGGAATGACGGATTTGCCATTCCTTCGGTCCACACCGTCAGCCCTCCCCTGACAGGCTTCAGCCGCTAAGGGGGCCAGAGTTGAGCCATGAGCAATGAGCATCTAGGTAGCTCATGGCTGCCCAACAAGACTGAAACTTTTAACACACGGAATTCACAGGAAACGAGGTCAACAACTTTGACAAAAGCGTGAAGACAGGACAAGTCTTTCAGGCACGGGGCTGCATGCAGGAAACAGAAAGACCCAGCCTGATCCCTTCTTTCCCCTCTACAGATGATTCCCCCCACCTGCTTCAGTCTTTCAGAGGCAGGTCCCGGGGTGTCACCATGAAGAGATGGGCTAGGAAGTGCCGGCTGTACCTGTGTTCCATCTCCTGGAAGGGAAACAAAAAGTGATATTGCCGTTCAGTCCTAGAACTGCCTACCTATTCACTGTTATCCGTTTTTCAATCATCTGTGAGCGGTTTTGGCTCTCTATGGTGAGAGAATGGTGGCACAGGAAGGACATACAGTGGTGCCTCGCTAGACAGTTACCTCACATGACACTTTTTTTGCTAGACATTGACTTTTTGCGATCACTATAGTGATTCGCAAAACAATGATTCCTAGGGGGGAATTTCGCTGGACAATGTTTGGTCCCTGCTTC